CGAGGCCAGCCTGGTCTCCAGAGCGAGTGCCGGGATAGGCTCCAAAACTTTCCCGTGAAATGCGGCCTAGAGCCCTTTTCCCATGCTCATTTTTAGCGGCTTGGATTCTCGGGGAATGTAGCCAATCAGAAGACAGAACTAAAAAAGCTGTTTACAAATCTCTGGCAAAAGGAGAAACGATGGTATGGGAGTCCGAGACGATCGTTATACTCACGCAGACAATAAATACATCACGTTTTTGCCTTTCCTTAGCCTCTGTCACCCTCTGCAAATAGTCTTGACCTACCCCTCCCTGGACATCCCGGCTGACTCCGCTATGTTTGGGCGGCTCTAGCTTTCTTTACTCGTTGGCCTGTGGGCCTCACCGTCCAATCGCAGCGCGCTTCTGGGTGGTACCAGAGTGCTTTGCGGCAACATGGCTGCCCCCAGGCTACGCTGCGCTCGCCTAGTTCGGTCCTTGTTGGGGGCCTGGCAGCTGGGCCCGCGTGCTGCGAGGGAGTGGGAGGCTCCGCCCGGCTTGCTTCTAGGTAACCAGGTGAGGTGCGTGTCCTGTGGTGTCGTGGGCTCCGCTTCCTCTGGTCCGCTCCTGGCCTCCGCCTCCAGTCGTTATGGTCAGGACTCCGCCTTGGACCGTATCCTTGGATTCCCTCAGCCTGACAGTTCGTTGGCTCCGAGCGTCCCCGCGGTGTCGGTGCACAGAGGTAAAGGGCTCCGTTATGTTGGTTGCGGGTGTTCTCTTTGGGGACAGGTCTGCCTCCCTGTGAGGCCCAAACTGGCTTGGAACTCGGATCTTCCCGCTACAGATTCTGGAGTGCCGAGATTACAGGTGTTAGCCTTGACCAGCCCCTGATGGTTTTAGCAGTGGAAGTCGTGTATCTTAGGTAAAATCTGTCTCTGGGGATATCATTTTCGCCTCTCTCGTTTCATAGAAAATAAATCTGAGTCCAAACAGAGACGAGTAATGACGGGTGTTGAAGAATTTGAGAATGAGGATGTGCCACCGCCGCCCGGCTTTCTTTTGTTGTTTGGACACAGGGTTTCTCTGTGTAGCCTTGGTTGTCGAGGAACTCACTCTACAGAGTGACCTCGAACTCAGACTCGCAGATGTGCTTCCCAAGTGCTGGGATTAAAAGTATGAGCCGCCCCCACTGCTCAGCCATATCCTTTGTTTGTTTTTGTTTTTCGAGACAGGGTTTCTCTGAGGCTTTGGAGGCTGTCCT